AATACAAGCTGCCGAAATGAGTTTCCGTTGCAGGTTGGCTGGGTGCACCCTTCCAGAATGGGTGAGGAGCTCAGAGTTACCCGGGAGGAGCTCGGAGTAGAGTCGTTGCTCCCCCATGTCATCTTTTTCGGATGCCTCCTGGTCGCCTCCCTTGGGAGGTGTTCCAGGTATGTCCTATAGGGAGGAGGCCACGTGGAAGGCCCAGGACACGCTGGAGGGACCATGTCTCTGAGTCGGTCAGGTGTTGCCTCGGGGTCCCCCCAGAACAGCTAGAGGAGGTATGTGTGGATCGGGAAGTCTGGTCATCTCTGCTTAGATTGCAGCCTCCGCGAACCCGCCCAGATAAAGCAGAAGAAAATGGATGGATGGATGGATGGATGTTATGGTCAGTTTGAACTCTTCCTGTTGCATATCTTTTTTATAGGATGGAATCAGCCTTTTTAACACGATTACCTGTTTTTATAACTTCCTTTTTAAACTTAAGCTAATCTCAAGATACCTTTTGGTACATTGATGTACACATTCATAAACAAAAAACTTGCTTTTGGAAGCTGGTATCTGAAATGTATCAGGATCCTTAGATGTTGAATCCAAATTCAAAGAATTGGAAATGAACGATTTTGGATCTGTGCATCATTAACCAAGACTACAGTTTCTGTGCACGAGAGGTTAAACATGCTAGATAGGAAAAACTCCCTGGAAAAGATGCAGATGTTGATGCACATCTAGCCCCCGTCTTCTGTTTTCTCATATATTTAGTATGGTGATATCTAATATTATCTAAACTTGCATTTTCTCACTACACAAAACCTAGTGTCATTTCAGCCAGACATCTATTTGTGCTTCCCTCCTTTAAGCTGATTGTCCTGATCTTCCTCACAGAATCTGATCCTTTTGTTTTTTCTTCTAACTCCAGGACAAGAATAATTTTCCATAGGTCTAGTACCATACAATGCATTTTTTTTTTAAAAAGAAGCAAGTTGTAAAATAAAAAACAAAAAAAAAACATGGAGGTACAGCCAGAAAGGTAGACATAATCCCCATTTTCCTGACTGCAGTCTGCTCATGTTTTCTCCTGCCTCTACGCTCCACATGGCAGGGTAGTTAAAGCACCGAGTGCAGATTAACACAAGGCTCATCAGGAGCCCTGCCCTAGGTTAAGCCCTTCCCCCGTTACTCTTCTGCATGTAAGACAAAGCAGGAGAGTAAAGCTCTGCAATGCTATGCTTTAAGGGAATTCTTAGGAAAATTTACCATTTAGATCCCTTCGTTCGCCCTTTATTTTCACTCTTTATCCTCCTTATTCTCTACTGTCTTAAACAGTAATCTGTATTCTGTTTAACAACTCAAAGTGTAAATCCCACCCATCTCCATTTATTAAATGTTGGCAGCAGAAATCAGGGCTGAGATGTTCATCTGTGCAAAAATATTTTTTGGAAAATACGAATCTCCAAGACATTTTTTAACACAGAATTTAAACTCATTTTGCATGCGGTGGATTTGAAGGAAGGAAGCTGTGATGCTGACAGCTGGTGCTGACCTTGTTTTTTTACCCAAACTGGTTGCAGGCAGATTAGAAAGCCGGTTCTGCACTAATACTACCATCCTCCTCACTCACTAATGCTAGGATTGAATTATAACTGTGGTTCAGGTGCCACATGTGCTGTATTCTTATTCTGACTCTACGTGTTTATCTTTTGGTCACCCCAGGCTCACAGCACAGAGAGGGCTGCCCCTTTTATCGAACATTGTATCATTCAGACACAGCCCTCAGGTAATGGGAGAGACTACAGTTAAGGATTTGTCTAGCGATAGATCAATACATTAGCCAGCTGAAATTTTTGGCCAATATTTGCTTTTTTTTTCCTTCTAACTGCATCTGCCAAAACATGCAGCAATACCTTGATGTCACTTGCATTGCAGCTGCTTTCATTAAAGTTTTGTTTCATAGTTTTTTTTTGTGTAACTTTTGAAATATTAATAATTTTCTGATATATATCCTGTTGATCAAGGAAAAAAGCAATATAAGTTAATATAAGTTAAGTTAAGTCGTTAAGCAGATATCAGAGATCATTTAGACTAGTTTAAGAATAATCAATATTGGCATCAGCCTTAAAAAACCTGTATAGACGTGCTTGATAATTAATTTAGAGTTTGTGAAGGGAAATACTGTTTATCTATGAAAAAATATTCCCAATAAAAATAGCCTGAGTGGTGAACTTTGTTGACTTTTAAGCACTTAATGGTATTTTAACACCCTGATAATTTGCAATATCTCCCACTTAGAAATCATGGAGGGGTCTGAAATTGTCATCTTGGGTGCATGTCCAATGCGAGTGAAAATCAAAAAAAAAAAAAACTGAAATCACAATATATGATTTTTTTTAAACTATTTGTTTGATAAAGATGCAAATAAGTTTTTGAAGACCTAAGAATCAATGTTAATATTTGGTTCCGTAGCCTTTGTTTGCAATTCCAGAGGTCGAACATATCCTGTCATTTTTCACCAGGTTTGCACACACTGCAGGAGGGATTTTGGCCCACTCCTCCACACAGATCTTCTCTAGGTCAGTCAGGTTTCTGAGCTGTCACTGAGAAACAAGGAGTTTGAGCTCCCTTCAAAGATTCTCTAGTGGGTTTAGGTCTGGAGACTGGCTGGGCCATGCCAGAACCTTGATATGGTTCTTACAGAGCCACTCCTAGGTTATCCTGGCTGTGAGCTTTGGGTCATTGTCGTGCTGGAAGACCCAGCCTGGACCCAATGCTCAAACTGAGAGAAGGAGGTTGTTCCCAAACAGCTCCCAATATATGGCACCAGTTTTCCTCTCCTTAATACAGTGCTATCCGCCAGTCCTGTGTGCAGAAAAACACCCCTAAACATGACGCTACCACACCATGCTTCACAGTAGTAATGGTGTTCTTGGGATGGTACTCATCATTCTTATTCCTTAATGGGATTATTACCAAAAGAGATCTATTTTGGTCTCATCTGACAACATGACTTTCTTCCATGGCTCCTCTGGATCATCCAAATGGTCATTGACAAACTTAAAATGCGCCTTGACATGTCCTGGTTTAAGCAGGTGAACCTTTCGTGCATGATTTCAAACCATGAAGTTTTGGTGTATTACCAACAGTAACCTGGAAACGATTGTTCCAGCTCTATTTTGGTCATTGACCAGCTCCTCCCAAGTAATTCTGGGCTGATTTCTCCCCTTTCTTAGAATCATTGAGACACTTGATCTTGCATCTTAAAACCCTGAGATCTTGCATGAAGTCCCAGTCCGAGGGAGACTGACTGTCATCTTTAGCTTCTTCTATTTTCTAATAATTGCTCCAACAGTCTACCTTTTTTCCCCAAGCTGCTTGGCAATTTCCCCGAAGCCCTCTCCAGCCATTTGGAGATGTACAATTTTGCCTATAGTGCATTTGGACAGCCCTTTGGTCCTGGCTATGTTAGTAGTTGGATTCCTAATGATTGTATGGGCTGGAAAGGTGTCTTTATGCAACCTACTACTTTAAACAGCTGCATCTAAGTCAGGATAATGAATAGAGAAGAGGTGGACATTTTGAAGTCAGGCAAACAGGTCTTTGAGGGTCAGAAATTCTGGCTGATAGACAGGTGTTCAAATACTTAATTTCGGCTACATCATACAAATAAATATTTTTAAAAAATCATACATTCTGATTTCTGGATTTTTTTTTTAGATTGTGTCTCTCACAGTAGAATTCCACCTATGATGGCAATTTCAGACCCCTCCATGATTTCTAAGTGGGACAACTTGCAAAATAGCAGGTTGTTTTTCATGTAAGAGGACTTGACCAAAGTGCTTTACAGTACATTCACCTTTCTATGCCTTCTTCGCCCCCTTACTTCACGTGTTCAATACTTTTTCCCTGTGCCCTTTGCCATTATTAAACATAACTTAATTTCTGGACATCTATGGTTTGATTTCTTTTTATGTGTAGATTGCATGGATGACCGACTTCTGGTGAAAATGTCATATCGACATCTTAAAAAAATATACTTACTGAGAAAAATGGTGACATGTTCAATACTTATTTCAACAGCTGGGATTTCTCTACGACTTTTAATCTACTTCATATTCAAAATGAAAGTATGATGTACCTATAGAATACAACATGATGTGTTACTGTAACAGTTCATCACTGAAGTCCAGATATTTAACTGTAGGCAGTTGGTTCTCGCTCATATTATTTGCCCAGAGAGTTTATTAGTGTTATATTTACATTCCACCTTCTGCTGTTGCCAACATTGAAGGTGAGACAATCAGTTGTTGCTAAGCTTCAGACACAAAAGCCAAATGCATTTTGTGGCAATAACTGTTGATTTTAGTCACAGCTCACTCTCTACTACACTCCCAAACTTCCAACGGTTTGCAGCGGCTGCACCAGAGAAAAACTAATTTTGGATTTTTGTTTTAGGCAAACGTCAAAGACTCATACATCTCTAAAGTATAGCCTCCTCATAGAAATTAAGATCATAATCTTAATTTTCTCTGTTCAAAGTATGAGCCACTTTATCAGATACAACATGCAGGAATCTAAAGAGGACCTGCAAGGTTGTTTTGAGGCTACAGACTGGTATGCAGCCCCATGGAGAGGACATCACGGTAATGCAAGACAATGAGTGTGTGACTAATTACATAAACTTCTGTGTAAATAACACCATCTCTAACAGAACTGTGCAATGCTTCCCAAATAATAAGCAATGCATAACAAGTCATTTGAAGCAACTGCTTAACAAGAAAAAAAAAAAAAAACTGCACGAAGGGAGACAGGAAGTTAACGAGGAGTATAAAGAAGCAACTTAAGGTCAAGATTAGAGAAGGCAAGGAGGGATACAGGAAGAGGCTGGAAAACAAGCTCCAGCAGGACAATATCAGAGATGTGAGGTCAGGGATGAAGAAGATCACAGGATACAAGCAGAAGGATGAGCAGACCCATGGAAGTCTGGACAGAGACAATGAACTGAATACATTCTGCAAAAGGTTCAGTTCAGGAACAAGATCAGCATCTTTGTCTACAAATAGTAGACAAAATGTGAGCTGTATTTACATTTAGTTAAAATAAAGGACTACATTTACAGTTGAGTATATCTTATGGAAAATTAAAGAGTGACACATTATGGATGTTCTGCTTACTTTGCTTCTTCGTCTCTGGCTATAAGAAGGCGCATGTGATTTGTGGCAGAGGCTGCTCTCAAGATATCCACAGCTCTGTGAGACAGACAGATACAAAACACTGTAAACATCACCGTAAATTATCAGGAGTCTAGAGCCAGAGCAAGAACTTTGTAAAAGTCACCTTTCACTGGTGACTCCAACTAGACTGTCCCCATTTACTTCCAGGATCTGGTCCCCTGGCAACAGGTTTCCTGTAGATAGAGACAAGAGATTATAAAATTGAGTGATCAAGCAAATATTCAGCTGTATAGAAACAAGTACAAAATTTTGAGTCCTGTCACTTTATGTGGTAGGAAAAATTGCTGCAACACATCCGACTGGAATCATCACAATATCAGTGTTTCTGTCAGTTTTCATCTGCAAAGATTGTCTTGAAAGTAATATTTGGTAACCTTTTTTTTTTCTTTAGATCTCATGTCTTCAGAAAAGAGTTTTTTAGTTCACTCTTCAGAAGTGGTATTTCTTTTGAGCTTTGAGCTCATTGTTCTTCTGTAGGTACTGATGGCTGGACTTCATTATCCTCACATTAACCCAACCCCCCCCATGTTTTGCTGTGAATATGAAGATCTGGTTCCTAAATGCTGTGGTAGTTGTGTGGTGCATTCAGACCAGGAGCGTTCTGAGCATTAAAGCATCTGATTTACAAGGGAAGTCTATAGGGGGCGGCATCGGGAGCGGCACATCTGGGATTCAGGCAGCGAGGGAACTGCACACCCGCACGTTCTGGCATCCGAACATTCGTTTCTTAAAAAAAAATTTAACTAAAGTTAAAAAAAATTTAACTTTAGTTGCTGTACGTCGGAGCATCAACCAATCAGAAAAGCTGATCCAGGAGTTTTTTTTAGGGAAGACAGACACTATCTGCAAGCTGTCATCAAAATAAATAAATATCCAGGAGTTAAACTCCAAAGGTGTAAAAAAAAATGCTGGAAGAATGGATTGTTATGTAGAAGGAACAGATAGTGAGTTCTGATCATTATTGCTGTACTAAAACATTTTTTTTTATAAACTATGGAGAAACTGTTTATAAATACCCAAATTTACTAAAAATGTTAAAACCTGCCGTATTGTAAAAACTCTTTCTATTCACTTCCAGCCTTTAAACCGCAGCAGGAAATCCCCCACAGTCTGGCTGCAGCAGAGAGTTTTCAGCAGGGATTTCCAGCGGCTCCCAACAAGAACTGCAAATTTTAGTAGGAACATAATCCTGATGAACTGACTGCACAGATAATGTTCGGAGGTGAACTTTCTCACTTAAAAACGTGACAAAACTATTTTTTTCTAACTCAAATTAAATAAAGCCAAGCTGCGCGTTTGCTTAAAGCTACAGAACAGAGCAGGTAAACAACCAGAGCGTCGAAGCGTCAAATCAGCTCTACCAGCGTTTAATTTAGCGTCTGACCAAGCGTCCAAATTTAGGCATTTAATCGTTTTTGATGCTCAAAATGCTTTAGGTGTGAACGCAGCTTAATGGCTGATATATCATGACGTACACACTCATAAAACTTCCCCTTTTGTCATATTAGTCCACGGAATTTGTTTGCCAAAAGTCTTAGAGATCAACATAATTTTGGTGAGTTTAGGTGGGTCTTTCTGCTCTCTGGGTGAGCAGGGGTCCTGGTGGAATTCTGTCCAAGATTCTCTTTTTCCTATTGTTGAATCATAAACTCTTCTACTTTAGATATTTGTATTGCGTTTTATCACCATAACATTATCATTTAGTACAATTCAAATATTATTAGTTTGTCCAAAATTCTTTTAATGCAATGCAAAAGGAGAGTAAAGTTCAGATTGTTCAACTCCAGCAAAATTACCTTTCCTTTCAAATAATTCTCTCTAATCATGGCAGTTGTATTGCTAGAGAACCTGTCTTTCATATCACTTTGCTACAAGAGACACTTTGCATTGAGGTGAGATAGAAATCACTTGCTCCAGTCATATTCTTGTTCAGTGTGAACGTACCATTATATTTGAAATATTCAGACCTCGAGTCCCCTGCTGCATTAACAGATACATTCACTTATAAGAAGAGTCATTTTCTTCCGATTTTGAGTTTTTATCTTGTTTTCAGTTACCTGTATTTCACATGTACATATTCTACAAATGTAATACATGGAAACTGAATTATAAAGACCATAAACAAAAGTTTCAGGATTGGTTTGAAATGTTTTCCCCCTTGAAATAAGTGGATTGTCTTTTTTATAAGGAGTGAAATGGAGGTTTGGAGAACAAATGTGTGATTTAAAGATGAGATAAAGTCTTGCCACTCCAAGCAGAAATACATCATGTTGATGAGGAGCATCCATGCATAATCAGGTCACTTTGCTTTATTCCAAATAACTTGATCCTGTAACAAGTATTGACATAAAGGCCGATACGATTATCACGCTAGTAATTGTTCTTGTTTTCATTGTAAAAGGTAACAAATTACCTGTTACACACTTTTATGGTGTTTCAATTTGGGCTAAAACAATTTACAAAATTAATCGATTATTGAAATAATTGTCAACTAATTTAGTAACTGGAGTATAGAGAATGTAAAACATGCCTTTAGCTGACAGAGCGACACACTTAGAGCAGTACTTAAACCAAGATTCTAAAAAATATATAAACATTTTGTATTTAAGATTGAAAAAAATTATTTGTCCATAGGCTCTATCAAGAACTCCACAAGTGGGGAAGTTTGAGTTTCACCTGGTTTAATTTAATAAATATCTTCTTTAAGGAACCTTTGGCTATCCAATTAATCAAAAAAATAATCGAATGATTAATCGAATAGCAAAACAACTGTTAGTTACAGTCCTAGTTACAATGTTACTTATAGTTTAAGGCTATATATTCATTGATCTAACATGAAGTCCATGCAGTAAGTCCTTTCCGATGCTTTTGTCAACAGAGAAAATCATCAGCAGGAACCACATTCTACAAACCACTATAGAGCTGAGGATTATATTACATGCGGGTCCTAATCCTCTCTGTTATTCACCATTCCTGGCATGTGTAGACTGCAAAGCTATCTTAGCTGGTTATAACTCTGCTCAAATACATTCAGCTATAGGTTGTAGATACAAAGATGTAAGCAAACTGAAAGAATAAACAAGCAGCAACATGCCCAGGATGTACGACAACCAAAACATAGACAATAGAGGGATAGAGATCTGCTTTTAAGCCAAAAATTATTCCTATTTTTATGAACTTGGTCATGTGTATATTTACCTTTTCTTTATTGGTGAATTTATAATTGGAAATAATTAGTGAATGAAAATTAATAATAACATCCCCTTAACTGTCTTGGGGTTAGGCACTAAGGCCTTATATGTATAGCTAACAATTCAGCTTTTCTGATTTTGATGTTTAAAAATCATAAAGTCAGGCTTTATGTGCACATTCTATCATGGTAGGGTGAAGGTTTTTGAGCACCCAAATGCAGAGATCAGGAGGTAGAGGTGAGTCTTGAAGATTTAATAAGACAACTGAGGCAAAAATAAAAAGTACAAAAATACAAACAACCAAAAACCAGAAAACACCAGGGGAAACTCACATGGGAAACTAGAGATGAGGAAGCAGCAAAACAACAAGGAATCACCGGAGGTGGTGTATATAAGGGAAACAAAACAAAGGATGGACTAGTGAGCTGAATATGGAGCAGGTGTGAGTGGAACTAACATGAAAAAAGCCAAGGGGAAAGGAAACAAGCACAAGGCGCGAACAGAGAGTAAGTAAATACTGCTTGTTTATAATGGAAAATAAACCAAAGCTCAACAAAACAGAATAACTAAAAACTCAGAGTCTCAAAAAGGGATAACCATCACATGCTCTAGTATTTTACAGACTAAAACACATTAGGACAACACCAAATAGATTTAAAAAAAATCTCAAGGTGGAGAAATACTTTTTGTCACTTTAAACTCAATAAAAACAATCCTTAAAGTGAGAATATAATCATGTTAGGGCAGAGTAAAACACTTCCACTTGTTGTTCCATACGCCATGATCATGGTTTTTGGATATTGGAATCCAGTGTCTATATTTCATCTTGACATAATGACCAGAGGAGAACTCGCACTTTTGGTGAATAACTTTGGCGACCTCTGTGGCCCCCACTTTTCAGCCAAGGCCTCCACAGGCAGGTCACATGGCAGCCCACAGAGGTGTGACCAACCATCCCCCTCTGTGTGAGGACAGACAAAATCACAGAACACACAGGATTCTCTCTCTTTTTCTCTTCTCGCTTGCCCATGAAGCTGTGGTCCATCTCCAGCAGGATGGAGATCTGGGCCCCAGAAGACCCGGATCTCCAGAGTCCTCAAAGATAAGTCATCATGGACCTTTTAGAACCAAACTGCAGCAACCTTTTGCGACACATTTCTCTTGAGTTACAGAACTTGTAGAGCCAAACTGGATGAGTGGAATCCTGATGTCTATTCTCTGCTAGCTATTTCAAAGAGGGTAAAGAATCATTTGTCTAAAGGTTATTGGTTGTTGATTAAGCAAATTGTTCAATAAAACATTATTTGGCCAAATAATGTTTTATT